AAACCACAACCTCCTCTCGAAGGTCGGTTGAAAACGTCATCCACGATGTTTACTGGGATCTCTTTCCAAGCCGTCCACCTACACCTCAAAGGGACGACTATGTCGCACCATTAGTTCTTCCTTCAGTTGTTAGCTTGTTATCATGTCAATGAAGTGCCATACAGCAGCCGGTTCCGACAAGATCAAACTGGATCTAGTTTCAATCAAAACTCTGGCAAGGGTTTACGCGGTACCCGACGAGGGCAAGTCAACGGAAGACCAGCAAGACCGTGCTGTACAAGAAGATACCTTGTGACATCGGCATTATCGCCCCATCTGCTTATTGTCTATAGTCTACAAACTACTCGAATTAGTGATCCCCAAGGATTGGAAAAGAAGTAGAGGAAGGGTACGCGAGAAAGCTGGGTTTCGGAAAAAATTCGGGACGATAAACCAAGTATACAAGGTATCAAAGCTCAACAAAGTATCACGAAAGTACAGGATGCGCTTTGTCTCACTTTTATCGATTTACGAACACACATAAGTTCGGCTGAGGCTAAAATTGTCATCAATGCTAAACGCAATCAAGCTATGTTAACCCACTACATATAGTCGGTTCGTAGCTGTACAACAACTTCACAACCAACATCACACCATTCTACAAAGACATCATCGACCCGAAGAAAGGCTGCTCTCGAGAACGTCATGCGCACACTAGAATGAGACGACATAGGAGTGAAAGTCGACGAGCGGCAACTACACCATTTTCGCTCGTTGATGATATGCCTGATTATGCCGAATATTACGCAAGCGGAGCGAGCTAGTCGTTTGGCGACATGGACTGTACAACGACAATGCAGCTATTCCATCGCCCCTGACCATCTCAACTGGGAAGGGGATTCCAGAAAACGACGCAATCTTTCCGAAGCTGTTCACGACGGCCTTGCAGTGGGTGATGAAATCACTGGACTGGGATGAGAGAGGCATACGAGTTCATGGGAGATTCCTATCGAACCTTCGTTTTGCTGATGACATCGTTCTCTTATTGAGCAGTATCACTAAAGCAAAGACGAAGCTGAAGGAACTAAAAGTAGGGAGGATCGGATTTCGAATAAATCGGAAGAAGACTCAGTTCATAAAGAACGCC